TGTATAGTGTGTACACAGTGGCAACTTTGCAGCTTATACAGGGAGAAATGGTTCACCCATCTTTAAATTTTCTTTAAAAGATACTTGGTTTTGACAGAAGCGAAAGATTTATTTATTTATTTATTAAATATACGGTATCTGGCACAGTAAAAAAGAATACACAAGGCTTTTGGTACTGTGAGCCACATGTGCCTCACCATCGTTATTCAAGAACATTCTAATGACATTGAGCAAAAACTTCTGCAAGAGATTGAATTTGACTGCTAGTATTCATGTTGATTATGAGTCTGGCACTAGACATGATTAGTTGTAGAAATCACTGTAGAAGTCATGTGTTCTTAACAGCAAAATAAATTTGATAGAAAAGTGCTGGGAACTTCCTTAAAAAAAGCTAATAAAAGTATTTCTTTGTGTCCAGCCAGAGAAAGGCGGCAATTATTGTCATGTTAAAGTCTACAAGTTTGTGATAAATTCATGTCCATTTCATGGGCAAAGGTTACACTGACTCAAACAAATCCATCTAGCTGGTTTAGATTCTTAATATAGACTTGTTTAAGCTGGATTCATACATATTCAAATATATGTGAATGCATTTATTAGTTCAACTTGAAACAATAAATTACTAGCAAACAACATCAAAGTAGGCAAGAGTTAAAATCAGTGTAAAATGATCCAGATTAAGAATCTGCTTCAATTAAATTTTATGATAGAAAGTAGTTCAATTAAGCAAATACAACTTTTTTCAATGCTCAGAAGGTCTATAGAGATACTAAAGTAAATTGATATTTTCTGAGTTATTTTCTATATTATAATTTGCATGAAAAACCTGCTACACTGACTGTCATGCACAATTAAGGTGGTTTAACAATATCTGATTTGTGTAGAAAAAGCAATAGTGGGCTCCATTTCTGATTTTCTGATTATTTCAGCAAAGCTAATTTAATGATTGTTATCTGCTGCAGTTAGGAAATTCCCCATGTGTGTTATACAAATACAGTTCAGTAAAGTCCCAGCTTTCATACTTCAGCCATTTTGTTGTCAGGGGCTGCAATCTGGTCTACCTCACTTGAGTACCTAACTTGCATTTAACTGCCTATTGAATCAGGCTTCCCAAAGGAAGCACCGAAACTTTCCACACAGGCACAGGAGACATGTGCCTTTGAGGGTCTCAGGAGGGACAGCCTCCCTGACTAACTTGTGTACCTAATACTCAGCCAGATGGGACTTTCAAAGGCATGTCACTCTCTCCTTTAGCTGTAAAAGGGATTTGAGCACTTCAGAGTGCTGCTGCTCTGCCTGACTAATACACAGGTACAAGTCAGGTACCTAGGGTAGGGAAGGGTAGCAAAGGGCAACCCCCAGCAACACCTGCTGCAGCTCTCATGTTTTGTCTTCAAACTGCCTCTTGAAGTTTACTTTTGCTCTTCACCTTGGTATATCTTAATGAAAAAGACTTGTCCTAGAGTAAAGGTAAGCGTTTCTTTCTCACTCAGATGGAAATACCACCATGTGTGCTGTTAAAACAAGGATCCCAGGTGGACCTTAGTTCATCTCAGATGCGCTACCAGCACACTGGAGTTTCTAAAGTGTGCTAGCAGAAATTTCAGAGCCCGATTCAGGTCGTGGTTTGAAGTAAAATGATTTTTTATTAATAATCGCTACATCTATACATTTGTGGATGTCACCAGAGGAGGCAATGAGAAAAACAACTATAAACTTATAAAAAGAAGCATTTTATTCCTGCCCTTGTCGCCACATGCGCTGGAAAGTAACTATATTGGCTCTTTTTTAGCTAGTAATGTCTAATGCAGGAAGACAGGAATAAGCAGAGTAGAAAGCACCTGTCAGCTCTATTTCCCACTCTCCTTGATTAGCATGAAACATTAATAGGGCTCTCAGAAATTCTGGTCTGAAATGGGCTTTGCTTGAAAACGTGTCTGCCTTTACTGCACAAAAGCCGCTGTCACTAAAAAAGGGCAGATAACTAAAGAAGACTCTTTCTTGAAATTTATACCATTTTTTTCATACAATGACAAATTATTTTAATAATGGGAATCGCACACTCTGCCATTTGTATAATGTTTCCCATAAAATTCTCCCATTAAATTTGCTCCTCTACTTGACTCATATCTTTTTTAAAAAATGACACACACAAAATGATACATCACGCATTCTTACAAAGAATTGAAAGTGAACATACTGTAATGGGTTAACATACGTTTTAATAAAATTTTCATTGTTGCACATTTCACTTTTCGGTACTGAGAGCCAGGGCTGTACCAGTAACCCCAGGCGATGCCTAAGGATAAAACAAATCATATGGTAGTGAACTATTTTCACCTATTTATCCTTCTACTGAAAATATATTCATAAATACAAAATGAAGCTAAGATACGTAGCCAGTAACATTGTACATAACAAAGATATTCCCTACTATTTGTATTCTGTTATTTTTTAATAATATACCTTCTGCATTTCTAAGATGCTTGAACTTCTGTTT